ATTGTGGATAAAGATAACGCAAATCCGCGCGTGCTGTCAACTTTGACGGACGCTCATTGCGTTAATAAAAGGTGAACAACTTATCAAAATGCTTGGAAAAATGTACCGAATATGATGACAGAAAAAAATCGGCGATTCTAAGTTGCAAAATGCCAGTACGCGCGAAAACGCGCGCGCATGCGAGTGTGCGTAATTTTTTTATCAAATGCTCCATATGGCCTGAAACGTATGCAAAAAAAATTTGGGATGATTTAGAGCATTTTAATTTTTTTCGCGCGCGTAAACGCGCGGACATAAGCGTACGCGCATTTTTGCGCGCATTTATTGACTTGAAATTGACCGGACGGATATAGAGTTTAATCATGATAAATATGAATGAAAAATGGCTTTCCTTTATGAAGATATGATCATAAGTTGATTTTCACAAAATGGCGCCTGGATGACGTCACGATGACCTTGACTGTCTGAAAAGTCACACAGTTCTAAGTTAGACTAAGATCTATCATCATTGAAAGTTTCATGATAATGGCTTTATTCAGTCTTGAGATATCTTGCGAACAAATTCGAGGAAGAATAATAAAAATAAACTAGACTTTAATTCGTCACTTAGACGAATTAGGTGATACGTATGATAATGGTCTACATAACGAATAATGCATTACACGATATATTATTTTGTAAAATGCTTCTCCCTTTCATATGCTTCTCCCATTATGATCTATTCATATGTCAAGATTAAATTGTGTCTCCTTGATCATCATGGATCTAGGGAAGATAGATTGAAACAATATATGACCTTTGACCCTGTGCAGTAACCAGTTACACATTTGACTCTAATTTACATCATGAAGAACACCTTTTGACGATTTTTATCTTATTCAAAGAAATGAAAATGTAATTGATAAATGATTATCATCATTATGATAATGATGATCATGAGCGCGATCATGACATCTTATTGAAAAAATGAGGGTTGATTTAGATAGCATATAGTCTCAGCTACAACATACTCAAAAAACAACAAAATCCAAGCCGAAATAACGGCGATATTGCTCACAAAAGACAGGAATGTAGACTCCAGATTTGAGAAAAAGTCATCTCCCATAGGGATTACACGCAAAAAGTAATGGATTAAGTGAAAATAGGGTAATAATAAAGTAAAAAGGGTTATTTATGACATTATTTGCGAATCTACGTGTTTAAATAATCAAAGGAGATGGTACAGTGAAGGTCAAAAGGAAAAAAAAGTGAAAAAAAAAGTGTTGGAGACACCCGGACTCGAACCAGGGATCTCGAGGTTGGAAGTCAAGTGCGTTACCGATATACCAAAACATCTCCCATAGCGATTACACGTAAACGGGAAATGGAATTCAGAAATCCTACTTTGCAAGTGAAATATGAGCATGATCCCGGCATCTAATCGAAAAATAAAAGGCACACTTTTGATAGCTCATTGTCTCAGCTACAACATATCCAAAGCTCAGCGAAAACGAAGCTAAAACAACCGAGATTTTGCTCACGAAAGACAGGAGTGTAGAATCCAGATTTGAGAAAAAGTCATGTCCCATAGAGAATACACGCAAAATGCGAAAAATTGACATGCCTCCTTTAATCGCAAAAATACACCATGATACTTTTGTCAAAAATAAAAATTGTGAATACTACATTGGTAGAAAATAATCTCAGCTAGAACATATCAAAATTTTAAACAAAATCAATTAATATTTACAGAGATACAATCAATTTTCCAAAAATATACGAACGTCAAAATATGCAAATTGAAATTTTTTGTTTGGAGGCCATTATGATGACGTCATTAGTTAATTGAGGGTCAAATGAGACATAAAATCATATCTCCAACTCATAATCTATCTCAATACGACAAAATATTGGGAGTTCATACCTATTCTGAAGAGTTACAAAGATTTGTGTATAGGCATGTTTTTGCTCATGTATTGTGGATAAAGATAACGCAGGTCCGCGCGCGCTGTCAACTTTGACGGACGCTCGTTGCGTTATTAAAGGGTTAACAAGTTATCAAAATGCTTGAAAAAATGTGCCAAATATGATGATAGAGAAATTTCGGCGATTCTATGTTGAAAAACGATAGTACGCGCAAAAAACAGGCGCGCATGCGCGTGAGCATAATTTTTTCTCAAATGCTCCATATGGCCTGAAACGTATGCAAAAAAAATTTGGGATGATTAAGAGCATTTTAAATTTTTGCGCGCGCGTAAACGCGCGAAAGAACGCGCACGCGCGCATTTGCGCACGTTTATTGACCTGAAATTGACCGGACGGATATTGATCTTAATCGTGATAATTATGAATGAGAAATACTTTTCCGTTATGAAGATATGATGATAAGTTGATTTTCACAAAATGGCGCCTGGATGACGTCACGATGACTTTGAGTTTTTGAAAAGTCATGCAGTTCTAAGTTAGGCTAAGATCTATCATCATGGCAAGTTTCATGATAATGGCTTTAGCCATTCTTGAGATATCCTGCGAACAAAATTGAGGAAGAATAATAATAATTTCTTCTATACAGACACAAAATAAATACTAGACTTTAATTCGTCACTTAGACGAATTAGGTGATACGTATGATAATGGTTTACATAACGAATAATGTATTACACGATATATTATTTTGCTTCTCCCATTCATATGCTTCTCCCATTATGATCTATTCATATGTCAAGATTAAATTGTGTCTCCTTGATCATCATGGATCTAGGGAAGATAGATTGAAACAATATATGACCTTTGACCCTGTGCAGTAACCAGTTACACATTTGACTCTAATTTACATCATGAAGAACACCTTTTGACGATTTTATCTTATTCAAAGAAATGAAAATGCAATTGATAAATGATTAGCATCATTATGATAATGATGATCGTGATGATCATGATCATGATCATGAGCGCGATCATGACATCTTATTGAAAAAATGAGGGTTGATTTAGATAGCATATAATCTCAGCTACAACATACTCAAAAATCAACAAAATCCAAGCCGAAATAACGGCGATATTGCTCGCAAAAGACAGGAATGTAGACTCCAGATTTGACAAAAAGTCATTTCCCATAGGGATTACACGCAAAAAGTAATGGATTAAGTGAAAATAGGGTAATAATAAAGTAAAAGGGGTTAATTATGACATTATTTGCGAATCTACGTGTTTAAATAATCAAAGGAGATGGTACAGTGAAGGTCAAAAGGAAAAAAAAGTGAAAAAAAAAGTGTTGGAGACACCCGGACTCGAACCAGGGATCTCGAGGTTGGAAGTCAAGTGCGTTACCGATATACCAAAACATCTCCCATTGCGATTACACGTAAACGGGAAATGGAATTCAGAAATCCTACTTTGCAAGTGAAATATGAGCATGATCCCGGCATCTAATCGAAAAATAAAAGACACACTTTTGATAGCTCATTGTCTCAGCTACAACATATCCGAAGCTCAGCGAAAATGAAGCTAAAACAACGGAGATTTTGCTCGCGAAAGACAGGAGTGTAGAATCCAGTTTTGAGAAAAAGTCATGTCCCATAGAGAATACACGCAAAATGCGAAAAATTGACATGCCTCCTTTAATCGCAAAAATACACCATGATACTTTTGTCAAAAATAAAAATTGTGAACATTACATTTGTAGAAAATTGTCTCAGCTAGAACATATCAAAATTAAAAAGAAAATTGATCCATATTTACAGAGATACAATCAATTTTCCAAAAATATGCTGACGTCATAATATGCCAATTAAAATTTTGAGTTTGGAGGCCATTATGATGACGTCATGAGTTAATTGAGGATAAAATGAGACATGAAATCATATCTCCGACTCATAATCTATCCAAATATGACAAAATATTAGGAGTTTCTATCTATTCTAAAGAGTTACAATGAATTTTATATAGGCATGTTTTTGCCCATGTATTGTGGATAAAGATAACGCAAATCCGCGCGTGCTGTCAACTTTGACGGACGCTCATTGCGTTAATAAAAGGTGAACAAATTATCAAAATGCTTGGAAAAATGTACCGAATATGATGACAGAAAAAAATCGGCGATTCTATGTTGCAAAATGCCAGTACGCGCGAAAACGCGCGCGCATGCGCGTGTGCGTAATTTTTTTATCAAATGCTCCATATGGCCTGAAACGTATGCAAAAAAAATTTGGGATGATTTAGAGCATTTTTAATTTTTGCGCGCGCGTAAACGCGCGGACGAGCGCGCACGCGCGCATTTACGCACGTTTATTGACCTCAACTTGACCGGACGGATATTGATCTTAATCATGATAAATATGAATGAAAAATTATTATTCGTTATAAAGATATGATCATTAGTTGATTTTCACAAAATGGCGCCTGGATGACGTCACGATGACTTTGAGTCTTTGAAAAGTCACGCAGTTCTAAGTTAGACTAAGGTCTATCATCATTGAAAGATTCATAACAATGGCTTTATTGAGTCTTGAGATATCCTGCGAACAAATTCGAGGAAGAATAATAATAAATAAATAATAATAAAAATCTTGACGAAATCAAAAGGTGATACGTCTACGTACGTATCACCTAAATAAATAAATAATAATAAAAATCTTGACGAAATCAAAAGGTGATACGTCTACGTACGTATCACCTAATAACAAAAAAAAATGTATATTTATTATGCCTACAGAATTAAGTAATAAGTAGATGAAAGTTTTACCGACAGTAACATCAGGGCCCTGTCTTATAAACAGTTGGGATTAATCGCAACTTCTTCGCGAAGGATATCAATCGCGCCTATGTATATTAAAGATAGGAGACTGTAAACTTGCGATTGGCTGGAGGACTTGCGATTGATTTGAATCAATCGCAGCTCTTTATAAGACGGGCCCAGTTATGTGAGGTCAGTTATAATTTTTTTCAATAAAATGTTTTATCTTTTTATGGCAAGATTTAAAATGTTTGATTGTGTATTCTATCTATTTTTTCCCTTTTAGTTTCAAAACCAACGGTTTCTTTCTCGCAAAGTTCAACTGAAAAACCAAGAACAGGATTTCCATCGGTACTATCCACAGGTAATGGTTTTCAAGAGCCCTTATAACAGTTTGCATATTGATTGAATGTACATCGTTAAAGTAAATCAATAACAAAAAAAGTAAATAATATCATGTCAATTTAAACTTGTCCGTGCCTAGAAATTATTTTTCTGCTGACTGCCTTACTTATACTTGGAGGAAAAACCAAGGCCTTGGTAAATCTTACTACTTACAATGATTTCTAACTACTTTAACTAAATTTGGATAGTCTTTATGAAAAATAGGTCGTTTTATTTTTGAGAATCTCTTCCTAAAAGTAGTTGCATGGTTCATGCGGTGTGGTGGAATATAAAAATAACAGCACAAATTATATAGCATAATTACCCCTAAATATTGTGGATTAATGACAGAGAGAAACAGAGATAGAGAGAGACAAAGAGAGACCGAGATAGAGAGAGAGAGAGAGATGAAGATATAGAGAGCAAATGGCATAATTGTTTTTCCACAGGAATCTTATACTTGGAAAAAATGATCGCACCGTCTTTCATCAGTTGCCTTAATCAATTCGTTATCTTTGTTTCATCTAGCTACTGCTGTTATGTTTTTCGTTCTTTTCCTGATTTCTGCGGCAATTTTGGTTTACGCATGGACTAGAGTCCAACATTACAGGTATGATGTTTTCCTCTGAATTCTTTTTTCCTATTTAAATCATTTACGAAGCATATCGTCCAGTTTTAATGAAGGGTAGAGTAAAGATTTTTATGAAATGCTCTTTATACAGAGGATTTAATTTTTTTTTTATTTTGAACGGCAACTAAAAGCAATAAATGCCAAAGGTTTAGAATAAAATGTTTTGGGAAGTTTTTATACTTTTCTAATTTGAAGGTTATAATCATCACAAAAAGATATATTTACCGACTCCGATGTTTCCATAGTCCTACCAAAAGTATCCATTTAAGAATTTAAAGACTTTTCGGTATGTTCGATGATTATCATATCAGACATTTTAATAACTCCATTGTTTCCATGACCCTAACGAACTTTATCCATATAAGATTGAACAGGTATAAGTACCTAATTAATGTTTTTTGTTTTGAATTTATAAATCAGTATTAAGGCAAAAACACCTTGTCAAACACTTCTCAAAGGAAGATTGTTGGAGACATTTACATCACTGGCGTAGCGTGATCCCAGCCGGGGAGGGGGGGGGGGGTGGGCACTGGCACTATAGGGGTCCCCCGTCTTGAAGGTGAATTGAAAGTGAATTCACAAGGCTACCGGTAAGGGGTGTTTAAGGGTCTATCATCGTCTTTTTCACGCCTCTCTTCACCTTCTCCCCTTTCAAAATATCATTCATCCTTTTACCGGGAAGGTTTTATTGGAAGGGGGACGTGCCCCCACCCTTCGACGTAGCTTTACCACTAATTGGTATCTCTCACTAATGACTAATCTTAAGCTTGTTTGATAGCCAACCACGAGATTACAAGTGGACAATCAGAAGATACATGTCGCACACTAATTATTTCCTGTCTTTTTAGTGGCGTCATTAATGACAGCGATCGTGCAGCGGTTTTGCTTTGTTTTAATACAATCAGTCATTTCCGTCTTTCATGAGGAAATAAACTCTTCAATCAAAATATTAAATGTGTTATTTCAGTGTGTTATTCTGTATAAAATTGGGAGAACACAATGTTCATATGTAAACATATAAACCACATTAATATTCTCCCAATCCTCGTACAGACAAAAAAGGCACACGCTTAATAGATAAACAGGTTTTTGCGATGATAACAATATCAATATGATAATATTAACGTTGGAACATTGATAGCTTTTGCGACATAATAACATGTATATTAATCCGATGACAATTCACCCGCGGGCAATATCCGAAACAATACGAAATCTTCACTTCAACCCTGAACAAAAGACAATAATTTACCCTAAACATAACGTCAATACAAACCTCAATCCTAAACCTGACCATATATATGCAATTGTCGCAAGAGCAAATGTCGGATCACCTTGTAGATATTAGCCGTTTATCAGCATTTGCATGAAAGCTCCCCTTTGAGGACTTCTTTCTGCGAGAGATAAAAATCCTCCTTTTGCATTATTTCTTTTATTGCGCACAACAATATCCAGTTCAGGTATCAACAGATAATTGTTTCCAGCTGCTCGCACCAGCAGTCCCTGTACATACTCAGCAATGGGGGTGCAATGCTGCTACATAAGCAGCACCCTCTGTCAAATACGCGTAGGTGAATCAAATCTTCACCCATAATTCTTAGTGTGTAAGGAGAGCCCTCAATATGCATATCAAATTGGTCAGATGGGTCAAATGATGTAATGTATCCCTAATCTCTTAGGAAAAACAAAATGATTGAAACAATATTTTACCAACATAATGAGCACCAATGTCGGAATGCTTCCTTATTATTGTTATTTTCATGTAAATATAAATTGTATGTACACTAACGTCACCCTTTAGAATTTAATATCGCGGATATTGAAAAAATGTCATTTGTTTTTTTGTATGTTATGTTTTTTTAAGGTTTTTTAAGGGAAAGTGCGGTCAGCAGAAAGTCAGCCGAAGGTCTCAAATTGTCCATTACATGCTTTTTCGCGTTTCGAGACCTCATCCGGAAATCTCTCTTGAAACAACATGGGGCAATGCTAAAGTTTTTAAACAGTGTTATTTCATACATATATCTTAGTAAGATTATCGAGTAATACTCGATAAATCTGTTGACGGTCTGTTTCTCTTTTTTTTGTCATCATGACGTGTTTATTGCAACATCACTAGCTTCCTTGCCATGAAACCCAGTCTCTTTATCACCGCAGCATTAACATATACTAACCATGTAAACTATTGTTCTCCTTTAGTTTATAAATTGTATTAGATCAGAGAAAAAAGATGTCCATTTGCTGATAAGCAGAAATGTGTAAGAAACATCATATGCAAGTTCAGAAGTCTTTTGTTTTTTTAGTTATTGCCACAGTTGTCGTGCACATGTGGCAGCCTGACGTCTTACTGGAGCCTTTAAAAAAAAGACCATTGAGGGAGATATAAGAAACCTTTAACAGAGAAAATGCGGTCTTTACAGACGGGTGATATTGTTATGCAGGTTTTTTTTAGCAGGTTTGTGTTATACATTCTACCCTATCTACAGGAAGAGTGCGGCACTGGCGCAAAGGGATCTTCATCTCCAACCACTGTCACAGAGGAAGGCGGAGTGCTCAAACAGCTACGCCAAATCCTTCACGGGTAGCTGTCGCGAGCGCACAGAAACCAACCCCGACTTGACCAAGGGAGATTTTATAGTTACCTGCCGCGTGACTACAGAACCAAGAGGTGCACCAAGCAACGGGCACACGAAGCCTGCTGAGATTGTGGTGAAAGCCACCGGGAAGCAGGAACAGACGGCACACCCAGAGGTACACCGGGCGGAGCCCTCACTACCAGAAGCACCGCGACCTGACTCACCAGTGACCTACGAGTGTCCCCTTGATATTTGGGAACCTCCCGAGGACTACGAGGACGTCATGATAGCTACCTGTAAAACAAATGTCTAATAACAACGGGGATATAGCCCAGATAGCAATACTACATTATAGCAACGTAAGACGTTTGCTCAACGTCACAAACGTTACAATAAGTCAACAACTATTTTCTTTCATTGGGTCCACGCTTGATTATCAGTGCAGGGTAAAAGTGTTTTCCTTGGGCAACAGTTTGTGCAAAGTTTGACCGATCATCCAATGTCGTGCATGACAAAAGCGTTTTCCTTTGGCAACAGTTTGCTCAAAGTATATGACCGATTGTCCAATGTCGTAAAGACAATTATCAATATTCAATGGATATGAGCAATGAGTAACCCTAAATGTATAAGTCCTTGGTATCAGGGAAGACTAACGGCTCAACGTTCAGCCAACAATGGATCGCCTACTGCTACCGTTTCAACCGTTTTTTTTTGTTTATACCGACGTTGCTCCCCCCCCCCCCCCAACGTAGTATCGCTATCTGGTAAGCGCTCGTAAGAGGAGTCTAATATGAAACTGGTCAGCTTCTTTATTAAGCCTATAGCGATCAGAGAATTCAGTAATCTGTGGGTTCAGTATTAGCATTTCTACATTGCAAACCTGTCAGGTTTTCAGCATTGCTTTCACGAAACACGAAAGCGTCGTAAACACAATTTCGCCCATATCACATAGAAACGCGTGCATTAAAATCAACATGAATTTAAAAGGGACGCACCTACGATGATTTCGTGGAACGATGCCTTGACTTTCAACTTCATTACGATTTTGTTTAATTGTTGACTGCTACTAGAGTAGTAGGCGGATACACATAGAGGAAACAAAATGGCCGCGGCCCCTTTTGAAGGATTTTTTTTCTCCCGCTATGTCCATAAAGGTACCCATGGAGCTCTGACTTTATAATGTATATACGCAATATTATGTAGCATGCTATTATTATATTATAATTATAATTGAATTATAGTAAGTCTTATTGATGAATGAAATAATGTTTTTATTTACTTCACACTTTGATGGGCAATTGTAGATTACTGTCTGACCTAGGACGTTACAGGACTCGATCCCTGTACCTGTGATTAACAGCCCGATGACTGGAGTATCTTTGTTTATAATGGCCCTACTGCAGGGCTCTGCTCAATAGATAGTTAGCTTTAGAGGGAAGGAGACAGTAGGCTCTTGTTAACGCTATAAACTTAACTATAAAGTAAATGATATGCATGATTTGTAGATGACGGTTGTTGCTTTTTATGGGAAAATACTTTTCTTGTTTAGAATATGGCAAACAGTGTTTGAAAGGTTACTCCCCTAACCTTGTTTATTCCTTTGATCGTAGAAATGTGTATGTTAGATTTTAATCGCTATAGTATGTTATAACTGGAAATCTTAGCTTTGTCAGTGTGTTTGATGGACACAGCTGTTTTAACAGTGAAGGGGAAGAAACAAATTACAATCTGTGCAGACATGATATTCCATTTTCCAATTCATAATGAGTCTGAGTTCGGAATGTGTGAATGCAGTGTCATTCTCATTAAATGTTTGAAGAGAATATATAACGAGGCACGAACAAAAGTGTCAGACAATTAACCGATTTTAGCTTTTATATACGTAACCAGGGCCCGCATATATCTTCCTGGGTTTTTGTAATTAATGTATAAATTACATTACTTTGAATAACAAGCGGACCATTATTACAAATTGTAACTTGATTACATTAAGTAGCTATTTTATTTATTTTTGCCCGAAGTGTAATACGAAGAATATTTAAAAAAAACTATCAAAATTAATATAAATTTACGTAAAAGCTTCTATTTTTACTAATATGTTTATGTCAAGCAAAAATTATGCAATTCTTTTTATATAGTATTATAGAGAATAAAATATAGCCCGGAAAGTTCATGACAAATCATTGTCAATATACTTTTTATTCCTGTTTATTAAAACATAATCAATGCTTAAGCAATATACATCGGAAATTGTCAGTGTAGTCATATGTTATTCTTTGTTGTACCTTTGTTATCGTAAAAATTACCTGAACAGTGAAGTGTTTCTGAACAAGTATTCATGTCATATATAAATATATGTACATAAACATTTTTGAACTACATTTAATGGACTCGGTATAAAAGAACATCTTTGAAATGTTTAATCAAAGACAAATTAATGGAGAGGAACCCGACAAGAAAATCATTTGAAGTATTGCCACTCTGTGTAATCAGTTTCAAACTTTAAGATAAACCATGAACATCTCGTGGCGTATTTCATCGGATGGACCATTAAGCGTCTCCGACCCGTTCTTCTCAACTTCTAATGTTATCGAAATGGTCTTCCCAGGTTGGGCTTCCTGTTTTCATCTACGCGGCTTTGTCTATTGCCTCTACTTAAGAAATCATTTTCAAGAAGCAAGTGACTTCGAAATATAGGAATAAAACAAACAAAACAATGATTAAGAATATTTAGAAGCAAATTAGTGCCAAGTAGATTTTTTGTATAAAACATTTTATTCAGTCTTGTTTTCCTTCTTTTTCTCTTCTAAGGTGACTCGGTAACATTGTCTCGGATTCTGAAACAAAATCCTGGATTTAGCTCATGCTGCAATCTAATTGTAAATATTTAGGTCAGTCAGGAGCACCATGACTTTTGCAAGCAGATCGCCTGTCTAATTATCAAGATATTTATGATTGGAAATCGAAATCGAATTTGCGTTTTCCTAACGGTTTTTATAACGCTACAGTCTATTGGGATAAATGAGGATGGTAAAACCGGTCACTCAAAGATTTTAACTTTTTTGAGGCACTTCATGATCATTTTGAAGCGCAATTTTTGTAGGGCTTCAATATTACACCATATCAAAGACATTGATAAAACGTAGGGCCATGCATCTCAGATTTAACATTGTTAAACGATGCCTTTAAATCTCCGTCAACAATTTTAAGTATTTCATCCAGAATCAGTCCATCTTCAAAGCCATCAAACCCAGGAGCAGTACAAAGCCAAAGATGACACTTTCGGACAGAAGAGGTTTCGCTGAAGCATTATCACACGGTGATGTGGTAGGCGAGGCGGGCTCACTTGACGCAAGCATGTCGACGTAACGGTCCCGGGATCCATTGTTTGGAGCTGGGTCCAAGGATAAGATCTCACACATCAGCTGGTAAACGTCCACCTTTGAGGAATTATAAGTTAACGGAAAGGAAAATATGTTTTTAAGTAACATGATTTAATGTTATATCCCCAGCTGAAACATGACTGAATGAGGGTAAATTTATTGAATGTATTTGATACATTAATGATTGACCAATAATTTTCTTTTAAAGAAAATGGAAAGCGAAAAATCTGTAAATATATAACATAAACCGAACAAAATGTTATTCATGCCTATCACATCTAAACCAAATAAATTGCTATGGTTGTATCTAAATGAGGGAAAATAAACCTCTTATCCTTTATCATTGTCTTTATGGCGATAAGTCCTAATGAGGGCGTCCTAATCCATTCCATAGATTAGTGCCTTTGTTACTCTGGTTAAGTTTGGCGATTAAAGATAAATTAGTATTGGCTTGTTGGTAATTCATGTACCGATTCTAGTGGAACAGCAGCGTAGTTACGTCTGAAGTAAGGACCCTGTGCGTAGAAAGACGACTTCATTACCATCCACTGTGTGTCGTAGCCATGGTCAGATAAAGTGAATGAATCATTGGCGCCAATCGTCTGTCAAAGAAATATCAATGGAAAGGAATAAGTGGTCATCAATCTAAAATATCCGAGATAATTCAGTATACATCATAGATGATGGTTAAATGTGCACAATATGGTCATAGTTTAACGATAAAAATAAAAGTGTGTCATTAAGGGAAAATATCCATGGAAAGAAATGTTAAAGTGGTCATCAATCCAAAATATACTAGATATAGAAGATGGTTAAATGTGCACATATGATCATAGTCTAACGATAAATAAAAGTGTGTCGGTAAAGGGAAACTATTATCACTCTAATATAGCGGTGAGTTCTTGTGACGCGGTTACATTAAAAAAAGAAACTCTCTGGAAAAGTTGAGAAAGGTACATTATGTAATACGTCAGCATTGAAATGTAATGTGAGATCTTGGATTTGCGAAAATGATCTGAAATTAATATGGCTGAAAATCACATGTAGTACACACGTAGAAATTGGTATATGGGACTTGAACACATATTACTTTTTTAAATGTTTTTTAATATTTTTTTTTTCATTGATTACAAACAATACAAATCAATCTTAGAAATATAATACAGTTGTTTTTCATCTTGACATGAAATCAAAACATTTTCATGACATAGATTGTACGTTCCGAGTGCGCCATTACCTGCGCCAAGCATCTGTGCCAATCAAGCCCGTGAAAGGATCAGCTCACGTACCAATAAAGGGAATGACTGAACCGTTCACTGTCCACTCCCGTCTTATCCGATGTCACTGTCTTATGGTGCGTCAAATACCGCGTCAAGCGCTAGCTGACGCAGCCGTGCGTCATAAAAAATGACGCCTCATGCGGACATTACGTCACCCTTGTTTTTGTTTACCGTGTGCAAGTGCCATCCTGGATCGACGAACCCAAAGATAGGGAGGACCCTCTCGTGATTGCCGTAATGAAGGCGTTCTGGAATCTCCTCCTTCTTGTACACGTGGAGGGCAGGGTGGGCAGACTTCAGCGCTTCGTACACCTGCAATAGAGAAATGCCAAAGTTTTAGACGCTTAGCCCAACGCACACTACATGATTCTCCTGCTAACCGATTTCGAAGAAAATGGTATCTGTATTTGATATGGAAATCTGAACAAACATAATCTTCCTGATTTATATACCAACATTTATAGATATATATACTATTATAAATCAAATCAAATAAATCCAAATAAACAATGAGACGAATACAAACAACAGTTACTGGAAGTTTAGTGCATTTAAAGCTTTTAGTCAGAATAACAGCCAAATTGGCTTCAAATCCTAGACAATCGCACTAATCGTCGGATGTCACTACGATTCAGAGCAGATTTAGCTTTTACTCTTCCAAGGAAGCATGGAATCCCTTGAAATTCGAATTGTATTAATGATATGACTTTCGAACCCTGGATCATTAAGATTTAATAAGTTTGAATGTTCAAATTAGATGTTTTTGGAAAATTCTTTAAAAATCGGATCGTAGTCAAATCTCATAGTCAGAAAGTGGGCGGTGGGCTAATAATAGTAGATTAATAAATGTAATTTTACATTCAAATGATCGCAAAATCCTTCGAGAAATAAACTAAAGGGACATTACAATACTATTGTAAATACTAAAGACCTCATCTTTACGGAATATGCAATGTATCAATGTCCACATTTTTCCATAACTGATGCACAAGGCTATTTAAATTGCCTAAGGTTGACTTTTCGAAATTCTTTTGAAATGTGTTATCCTTAAGTTTCAATATTATGTTTTGTGAGTTAGTAATCAATGATCATACATAACACCGAGCTGCACGGACTATATTTGAACGAGAACACATTATTGCTGTTTCAATATCAAGAAAGGGGTATGATGATGCGCTTCCAGATAGCCCAGGATTGCCGACTCCAATACCAAATCTACGATCTCGCTACGATTTTGCTACGATTTTGCTACGATTTTGCACTTATCCCCTCCATTCTTAATTCATCTACTACTGTACACCACAATATTATACGATTTGCTGACTCATAAACGTACCCTGACTAATATAAATGAATTCGCCAATACCTACTCCGCTGTTGATAATAAGAAATTGACATCTTTGAACCCTTTAATAAATCAATTAACTGCCCTTTTTAATGGATTAATCACGATGACGAACCTTTTTTCGTTAAAAGGGGCTTATTTGACGGCGATTTATTCTTGAATGAAACAGCTAAATGTTCAATTACCTCGTCCAGTTTTCCTTCAACGGCAACCATTTGAAAATTTGGACCGTAATCAGCGATGATGAAATCAACGTCAGAGCTAGCGATATAGTCGTACAGGTTGACGTGTTTCGATGTCTCGCTATTTATGTGCCCGTGGTCGCTTAGGATGATGACATTGACGGTCTCGTCCAACCCTCGTTCCTCAAGAACACGGAAGAGATACCCAATGGCATCGTCGACTTCGTATAGCTTATCGATGGCCTCTTGACTTCCAATACCATACTTGTGCAGCCATTCGTCGGGGTTGTCGAAGTACAACATGATGAGATCGAAATCGTCATCGGTTAACCAGGAGATGGCGTCATATATACGCGACGTCATGTTGTAGTTCAACCTGTGACATCAGTCAACATCTTTAAAAAACGGTATGTTTTAAACTATGGCATCATCAAATCATGGTGCTAGGGACAGAGTGGGGCATGAAAGCGAGTGATATTCAGTGTCTCAATTTGTCGAAAAGGGCAGAGATATAATTACGTACCTTCGAAAAAAGTTTGAAAGTACCACGTCTTAAAAATGATTTGAATTATATGATGGCAGAAAACAAATCTTTGAGAACCCTACAACAATATAAAATAAGAAAGGATTTTCATTAATCGCTATCTAACGACATTAAATATTTAAAAAAAAATATTTATCATAAACATGTCATGGAGAAAATTCTATTTTCGAATGCATGTTTTATGAATACTGACAATTAACAAGATGGGATTTGCCTTAGTCCTGCAGAAAACTAATTGTCAATCGAAAAGCAGTGTGGTTTATGTATCCAAATCTAAACAAATCTGTCTAATAAAATCCGAAGATAATTGAAAATTGCATGTTCATTTTCTTCCTGGTGTTAGTCCAATTTTGTATAATCATGAGAAGTAGGTAAATGATAGAGGTAATATGAACTCATTTTTACCATAGATATACTAGCGACTATAGTAATTAGCATGTCTAGTATATCCATGATTTCAGGAACCCAAACCACTAGATGCTCGGGATATTCTTATCAGTGATGCTTTTGATGGGTACGCTACGGGATAGAGAATCGTAACAGCGTGAAGACCCTGCTAATTGATAGAAGCATATGACCATTAACGTCACATAAAGTGCTTTGGTACTGCTTATTAAAGGCATCGCTTCACAATGTTTTATTTCACATCTCTTTATAAAACACATCAAAAGATATAAAAACAAATCATTATTTAAAACAATATAAATATATACAAAAAACATTCATTTACATTGTACTGATGAAAGAAGGATGAAGGGTGGAGGATGTGAGGGATCAACAAAGGCCATTGGCCTGTCAAGGTTGATCTGAGATGCACAAATCTGAGACGCACAGCCCTACGTGTTATCTGTGTCTGTGATATGGTGTAATATTCAAGCCCTACACAAATTGCGCAAAATGATCAAGAATTGCCTGAAAAAAGTAAAAAATCTTTGAGTGACCGGTTTTACCATACTCATTTCCCCAATAGACTGTAGTGTTCTGAAAACCGTTAGGAAAACGCGAAATTAGGTTTCGATTTCCAATTATAAATATCTTGATAATTATACAGGCGATCGGCTTGCAAAAGTCATGGGGTTCCAGACTGACCTAAAGGTTTTTTTAATTATAATTGCAGCATGAGTTAAATCCAGGATTTTGTTTCAGAATCTGAGACAAAGTTACTGGAGCCCTTTCTAGAAGAAGGAGAGGGATATATTAAAACAGTCATCAAAAGCGATTTTACTTACCAAAACCACTCGGTGCTCGGGATATTCTTATCAGGGCTGATGCCTTTGATTGGTACGTTACCCCCAGGGTAAAGAATCGTACCTGCGTGTAGGCCCTGCATGATTGCCGTCACCCAGACCGGCTCTGCCCCGGTGTCGAACCACTCTGTAATGTTGAGTGCTTCTGGGTACGAGTAGGTTCGGTTCTTGGTGACAGGATCGAAGTATAAGTTGTGAATGGCGCCATGACTTTCTGGATACAACCCTAATGCGACATTAACAAAATAGTTTAAAAATGGGGGAAGGAAAAGTGCGCTCACTGTAATCATAGTCCTTTGTTGCAGAGAGTGAGGAATCTACAGAGGCACGGCGGTGTAAGTTAGTACAAATATATAGAATTAAGAAATAGAAAGAGGAGTGGATTAAGCAAGGCAATGACGTTACCAAAAAAATTACTCGTCCTCTTCCCAAACATCACTCAATGGCCCTGTTCTCTAACATGTCATCAACCTTATGAGGCAGGTAATACTACCTGACAGCGGTGCCCTTTAATGGCTGGACCCTTTCCAATCATGCCAATGGATAACTTAGTAAGGTCTATATTCATGTATGAAACGTGCTTACGGGAACCCTGTAGTTCGTGACCGCACTTAATCCTAGACGATTAAACAACTCAGTCAACAAGATAAACAAATCATGAAAGTAATCTGGGGAGGGTTCACAAAGACTAAGATTGACGTTCATGCCACTAGTTCTTCTAACCATTCCTGGCATTCGTTTCTCATGGGACGTACACGTCGTGGTCACAAATGTACAGAATTTACCTGTATGATAGTTCATATTGAAGGAAAAAATAGTATCTAAAGATCATAATTGAGAGACCAATGGTGAGAGCAACTAGTGGCATGAATGGCCTGCCATAGTTAAGTCCAACTTAAAGTCGATCTTAGTCTTTGTAAAACACCTCCTGGACATGGTTCACACCTTACCTGTGGCAATGGAGTACATACTAGGCGTAGACATTGAAATGAAGACTCCGTTCATCCAGCTGGCTTTGACACCGTTCCTCTCCACTTCTTTAAGATTGGTGAGGTCCAAGCCATATGAATCCCACCTCAAACCGTCAGCCAACAGGAGGATCACCTTTTGCTGCTCAACGGGATTTTTTTGAACATGGAGTGAAAAGACGATTGCAAAGACCTTCCAGAAATCATCATCAGGGCGAATTCATTACCCTATACATGTAATATATCCTGTACAAAATCAGGTTCGGATTATGCCATTCTTTTTCATTTTGTCATTTTCACACAGGTGTCCACGAGTACACCGATACTTATGTGCTATATAATCAACTTTTCCGTCGTGGGATTGATCCCTTACACGGTATTAATGTCCTATGGCAAGCATCGATCTATAGTTGTCATGATATATAGTTGAATGATGATAGCCTTTTTGATAGATATATTGTCATATGCCCTCAGGGTGACCATATGGTAAGAATACTCCTCAGCGAGTGGAAATAGTGCACACTGGGTATTGTTGTGTGCATGAATGAATCCGATGAACGGGTTAATTATCTGTAAACCGCTTAAAAGAGGGTATTCCGTATTATGAGCCATATACAATCAGATTTATTATTAGTAGTATAACAATAGGCTGATTGGGGTGGCTTAATAGTATAGTATTAATGACTGCTTTGAGAGAAATGGTTGTTTTTGTACGCTCAAGGGAAGGTTAGAATTGTACTATTGCCCGAGGCGTGCCGAGAGCAATAGCCCAATTGTAACCTTCCCGAGAGCGTATAAAAACAACTATTTCTCGAATATTAAAGCAGTCATTAATACTTTTATATGCCGAAACAAAGAGTCAACTTATGACACCACCTTGGCCTTTATCTATTTGATCTGCACGGTTGTTTTTTTATGAGTGTAGACTTTGAGAGTAGACTAAAAAATACAAAATACAAAATAAAAGAACTTTTTATCGAAGATGATATTCGATCTCTTGCGTTCAAACGATGATGTGACTAAAATCACCGCCTTAGACCGCTCGGCCATCGCACACAGATACCATACTTAGCAGTTTTCTCTTATATATACATTAAAATTGATTGAAAACGGCTTCGCGTGCGGGATGTTTGGCGGCAGCTCCATTAAACCAGGGACTTGGGATACAACTAACAAGTCCCTGATTAAACGGGCCCTTCTTTTACTTTTGCAATGCATTGGCACGAACTTAGATCAAGATCTATCGGCAGATGTTGTTTTTGGAAGTTTATTTTCATCTTCATGTCAACAATGCAAGATAAAATTGTCGGTAAGATCGATCGAGATTCAATTGTATTGAAATTACCGACCAATTCTTCGCACACGTACGGTATCCGCGATCGCTCAAACCACTTTTTAACATGTAAACCTATGGGTATTTCACCAAGACTGAACTAATTTCCCGGTAACAATGGTTACTGGGATTTAAGAACTATTTTTTTAGAACTTTTACATGGGTTTGGAATTTTACCGAGAATTTTACAGGAATAGTTAAAGTTTATGAATGCAATTTCGACCAATCAGATGGCTGGATTTCTTAAGTGAGGTATATAATAAGACCTATTCTATATTTGTATGACATATATTTTGAACAACTGAAGCAGTGGACGGGGGCAGTGGACGATTATGGATTTTGTTCTCATGATGTATGGGTATATTTTAACTCGTTGTGTGCGTGTGTGTGTGCGTATTGTCTGTTAATTATCATAGCCAGATATACATGTATGCTTGAAAGAGGCCCAATCGTTATTTCACGAAACCTTCACCGCCCCCGAAACACCACACACAAAATAAATCGTCAGATTCTTCCATTTTTTGTTGATATAGAGATACACCATTACTAAGCTTGCTGTACATAGATTTGCGGAATATTGTTTGCATATAATAGTGCCCAATTTTCGATGATGATACTTCATTCCTGTATCGTAAATATCACATCGTTAACAACGTGTCCCTGTATTTTGAACTGTTCGAACGGACTTTGGATGTTATTAACCCGGCTTAATTTAGCTCCGGCAAATTCAACGCTCAGTGCATTCAAGGAATAAATCCCCCCCCCCCCAGGTACCCACTTATTACACCTGGGGTGTTTCACAAAGATCCTAAGTTGAACTTATTTGATTTGATTTGATTTGATTAATTTATTTCTGTTTGATTTTCTTTTTCTTTTGCATTTTTACAAATATATAACAAACAAAATATTGCAAATTTTACACATTTCAAAAGAATATAATGTCGAATAAAGTAACTAATCGAAAACATCAAACAGGACGGTTGACAAAGTAAGCAAAGCTTGATAGCATGACTACCCTCAATGGATACATAATAATACGAATATCGTGAAACAAATATTGGTAAAAGGGGAAAGAGAGAAAGAGAGAGAAAAAAAAAAGAAAACAGAAAGAGGGGGGGGGGGGTGTACATCAAAATGCACAGATGTATGTGGTACAATGTAGTTGGATTTCAATTTGATATATGAAGATATAAAAAAAAGAGATGCACATTGGAGTATTGGGTGGCCAACTTGGGATATATTATAGAATGAGAAGAATCACGAGGTTTCTAGGCAATATAAATAGAAATGAGATATCAGAGAGCTGGTTTATGTAAACTGTAAACCTTTGTTTGTATACAAAACAGGAAGTAACCCAAGTAGGTCACTCTTTATTCATAAGTTTATTCATACCAGGTCATGGAAGGTTATAATCAACGTTGTACTTTAAAATTATGGAGGGCCAGTAGCATCTATGAACATATTTTGTGTAAGATATCTCAAAAGGCATAAAATGTTGATTCAAATCATTCATATTTTCTATTTATCAAGGAGATTTCATGTTCTTGATGTTGAATTTATGAAAAGTCTAAAATATTTTTCTATTGCATACATTTCATTTCCCCAGGGTCGGGTGTGGTAAATGCACCTTGTGTGTATTTAGAGACTTTAATATCCACTAGACCACAACACCTCGATATTCATGATCTCCGCCACCCCCTCCTTTATCCCCATTAAAAATGATGATTTGGGGTCTCGCATGTCTGGGAACCCCGTTTTAGAACAGAGTTTTGATGATTATCATTAAATTCAAGTTATTTACCTTTTCACCGTGTGCTATCCACGTGATCATCATGACCCCTGCTATCACTAATACCACCTTTGGAAGCAGCATACTTTATACCGTATACCTGTACATGGTGTGTAGAGCGTGGATAATTTTTTTTTTCATAGAATGTCGACAAATCTCAATAATGGTTGAAGACCCCCCCCCCCCCCTACTTTAATGTAACGCGCGTCTGGAAATCGTAATAGTACATAATATCCGTAGGCCTGTCTGTTAGAATCGCATTTTTGTATGCATTTACCATATAGAACTTTAATACAAAGTACAACTACATACTGCCAATCTCTCCTCCGTTCATCACTTACCATGAAAGAGTAGGATAAATGACTAGATTCATTTATTGCATTGATTGTCCAGCAAATCTGCAAGAAGAATAATATAAACCTACTTACCAATCAGGAGTGTGCGAATCGAAGGAACAGCCTTAAATAGTAATATTTTAAAATGTTGCCGTTCGCAGAGGTTTATTAGTTCACGAATAACGTGTAAAGAAATAATTTTACGACCCTTCACACCAGTAAAATATTTTAGACTTGCGCAGTTCATATAGGACGTTACTGTTGACAGGAGTTTTATTGTGTCGTCTGTACACGACTAAACGAAAACGCCCCCTGTTTGCACATTCGTCACTGAGGCTGCAATGTTGAATCAAACAAAAAAACTGCAATGATGTTGGTACCATTAGCTCCTTTCCCACTTCATTTGATTAGCCTAATGTACATGTCATTCTTGATCCTGCCCAACTGTGTGTAGGCTGAGAACGTGACCTAACAATGATCGCGGGTCAATTGTTCCAGGATTCATTTCGTCAAAGGTCTGGGTTATACCTCAGCCACGTCGTCAAACAGAGTTCAGACCGACTCCAAACCAAGAGATTTTAGGTCATAGACGTAACATAATATTTTCGTTCAGTCAGGTGTCGGTCTTGTCGGTGTAAATAAGGTATAATATACAAGATACAAGATACAATATATTTTATTTGGTCTTTGCAAACAAGTAACATAGAAATTTGGTTTCCACTGGCGTTACACTAATATTCAAGAACATACATAATTACAAGAAATAAATACATCACGTTTATAGAATGAAATAGATGAAATAAGAAACAAATACATGCAAAAGATAATGAAGAGACAAAAATGGTCATTGGTACTTCAAATCCTGAGTTTCAAAATGAAGCCTTGGTCATTGGTGTTTCAAATCATAATAGTTTCAGTATTAATTAATTTCCGACGCAGAAGTTTAACGTTTAACCTGTGAGTTGAATGTATGAACTGAGTAGGGTACAAATGAATCGTGAAAGGCGGGTTGGGGTGGGGCGAAGTCGGATACCAGAACGATTAAATGAATAAAATAAATGAATTGGATGGGTATTGTATTTCATGATTGCACCGACCTTATCAACAATTTGCTCAGTACAATGAGACTCGACAGAAGCTAATTCTACCCGAATTATGCGTTGTGCCATTTTACGTGGCCTTTCCAATTTCTTCTTGTCCTGTTTTGAGAGATTGCCAAATGAACATATAATATTGAAAAGCAGGACACTCTTTATTATTGAATTGTAGAATTGCGTCAGGATTGTTGCATCTATATGGAAACTTTTCAACTTACAAAGAAAAACAACCTCTTGTTAGCTTTCTTATACACCGATTGTGTGTTATCCCTCTATGATAGTTTGTCATTTAAGACAGTTCCAAGATATTTATAGTTTCCAACCTGTTCAATCGCCTCATTATGAATGATCACATTCTCGTGGTCTGTACCTTTTCGACGGAAGTAATGATTATCACACCAGCGAATGAATTCGTCTACCTGTGAGAAATAATCATTTCCCTGATCAGACAAAAGAGCAACAATTACGGTGTCATCAGCATATTTGAGTATGCTACAGCAAGAAGTTGAGCTTACACAATCACTTGTATAGTTACAGTGATAATAAAACCGGGTAAAGGACACACCCCTGAGGGGCACCTATGTGTGTAGTCACCGTAGATGACTGATGACCATCCGCCTTTACGCACTGTGTTCGACCTACCAAGAAGTTGTGAATGCATCTAATCAATCTACGGTCACAAATGTTCGTACGAACGATTCGTTTGTACGAATCTCCCTGTTCCTACGAATATCAGAGTTCGTATAGATTACGTCTTTCTTACGGAGTTCGTACGAACGCCGTTTTAATTCGCAAGAACAACTCAAGACCTTCTTGAGAAACGAAGTGATTTTCGGTATTACAATGGCCCTAGAATTCGTACGTTTTTAGTAAGAACGCCTTGAGTTCTTCTTACGTCAGACTTACACCAATATTACGAGTCTTTGTTCTCCCAAGATGGTCGTACGTGTAACTCATGGCATGCACAAGTCATTCGTAAGAAGATGTTATGATTTTTAAAAATATTTGGCCGGGTTGCAAAAAAAGCGCTTCCGTATACTGTCGAAAATTCTATGACTGTTGAAAGTTTGATGTTTCACGATGGCAGTATTGCCAAGAAGACTACACCTGCAACTGCAACTCCATCATGTGTTTCTTGAACTTACTGTTATCATATCTGTTACTTCCTGTATCATAAAAGCAGTCATGTTCACCGAAGAAGTCAACAAGTATTTGCTCTGTGGTGGCATCAAAGTCATACTTCTCCTTTCTTAGTTTCCCTGTTACCTCGTCTTCCACGCTATCAAACTGCCGTCTTGATGGTTCTTCCTCCTCCTCCTCGTCATCTTCCACCGCCTCCTCCCGGTCGCTTCCAATGGCAATCATTTCTTAATATTGTTGTTGCTGCTCTCCTCCTCTTTCTTCTTCCTCCTCATCTCTTTCCTTACGTGTTTCCCTTCCCTCTCTTCCCTCTAAAAGATTTCCCCTTTTGTCCCATATTTCTTCGACAGGAGATGCACCCTCGACGAACACTATGAACAGGCGCGCCGAAAGCAGTTTGGGATTGGGGGGGGGGGGGGGGGGGGGGGGGGGGGACATTCCAGGGGCTCACCTTCCAGGGGCAATGGCGTAATGAGCAAAAACGTTTTAAAGGCGGGGGGGGGGCAGAAGAAAAATCTGCATCACCACCACTCTTACACGTATATTGGCGTGGGGTCCAGGGCCTGAGCCTCGGCAAGGAGTCAAGGGGCTGAGCCCCCTGAAGATCAGGGTTTTTAGGCATTACATTACTGTCAGAAAGGCACATTTAGATAAGCTTTAGATGAGCTTATTTGTGACACTGGCATGTCACTAATTGGAGGGGAGTACAGGAAGCATAGCAAGCTCAGAGGTTTTTAGATATTTAACTACAGTCAGATGAGCATCCAGGGGCCAGCCTTTGGGCCCTTGGTCGGGTCCAGGGGGCAGAGCCCCCGGAAGCTCAGGGGTTTTAGGTATTTAATTACGGTCAGATGAGCATCCAGGGGACCGATTTAGGGCCCCTAGTGGGGTCCGAGGGCGGAGCCCCTGTAAGCTCTGTGGTTTTTATTAGGCATTTTAGTTACGGTCATATCTTTAAATTTTAATACCTCATTTGTGACATTGGCAGGTCACTTATTTTTTCTCTCTTTTTTTTCTTTTTCTGTAACATACTTTTTCAAAAAGTGAGGGGGGCTCAACCCCCCGAGCCCAGCTGTTCTGCAGGCCCTGACATAAAGACTTTAAATAAGCATATTTTTCGCCCGCCTGTAAATTTGGAAATTTCTAAATTTCCAACAAACGCCTTACAAAAATACTGAGAAAAAAATACTGGAAAATCATGTCATTTCAGTAACATTTGTAAATCACTGGTATCGAATAAGAAATAACACCCCACCCACCTATCAGTACGCCAGCGTTCAGGGGCTCATGTCTTCTTACCCCTATAACAAAAAACACAAATGCTTTCCCATCCTCTCACAATATTTCGAAGATATGCTCGTATCGCTATTATAAAAACATCCATTGACAAATATAGGTGGCATGCGGAATGTTTAAGAATTTAAATTCCTCTTAACTTTCCTTTTCTTTGAATTGAATTTTATATGTGATTTATTTCATGTTTTATTATTGTTATGTTCTTTTGGGTTAAAAATACAAACCATTTTTACTCCTTTACTGCTTTTCTTTTTTTGGGGGAGGGGGAGGGGATGGGGCTTTTTTTTTGGGGGGGGGGACAAAAAGGCGTTTCTTGGTTGGTACGGTGTAATTACGGCGTTCGTATGGCCGCCTTACGAAGAGAGGGTTTCGTACGATGTTAAACAAAATCTTGGACAAGACCATCGACCAATCTGCGATCTTACGAACGGTCTACGAACGGTCTACGAACGCTGGTTTCGTACGGCCTTCTTAAGAAGATCTTACGAAATGGTCTGAAAATCGTTCGTACGGCGTTCGTAGCAGCCCGTAAGGGTATTTGTGACCGAGGCTTAATGTCTACATTCATTCTCATCAGCTTACGAGCCAAACAGTGGGGTGCAATAGTATTAAAAACACTACTAAAGTCCAAGAAAAGCGACCGAGCATAGGTCTTTGTTTTATCCAAATGCTCATATATTTTATGCAAATACACATGAACGTCATCCTTAACACTCCTGTTCGGTCTGTACGCAAATTGAAAAGGATCCATAAATTCTTTAGTTTGTTTCAACAAATATGTCAACATCAATCTCTCAAAAAACTTCATAATATTCGATGTCAAAGCTACAAGGCGAAAATCATTAAGTTCATTTCCCTTTATAATCTTTGAAACTGGAACGATTGAAGATTTTTTCCAAGTATTGGGTACCAAACCAGAATCGAAATCATCAAAAACACTTGCCGTAGAACTGGAGCCAATTACTGGCTACACACCTTTAATGTCCTTTTTGATACACCATCGGGCCCTGTAGCTTTGTTGATTTTCACTCGATTAAGTACTTTCCTGACATTTAATTCAGAGAAGTATACTGTACCATCAACGACATTTGACAAAGTATCTTGGAAGAAAAGAAGAGAAAAAAGAAAGGAGAAGAGAAGAAAAACAGGAGAAGAGAAAAGAAAAGAGAAGAGAAAGAGAAGAAGAGAAAAGAAACTGGGAGAGAGAGAAACAAAAAAGGAGAAAAGAAAAAGAAGAAGGAACAAGGGATTTCAATTTTGCTTCGAGGACTTTACGTCACGGGGGGCGTTTTCGTTTAGTCGTGTATATACGTAACATCCTATATACTGCTGAAGTCTAAAATGATTTATATATATATATTTTGGTGTGAGAGGTCGTAAAATATTTTCTTTACAATTTATTCGTGAACTAATAAACCTCTGCGAACGGCAACATTTTAAAATATTACTATTTAAGGCTGTTCCTTCGATTCGCACACTCCTGATTGGTAAGTAGGTTTATATTATTCTTCTTGCAGATTTGCTGGACAATCATTGCAATTAATGAATCTGACTAGTCATTTATGCTACGCTTTCATGGAAATGTATACTATTAACTAGATCTATTATTTTTAAATTATTTTTAAAATAATTCCATAAATTGGGGTAAAACTAAAATATTCCACCTTTATGAGCGACAGTGTACATCAGTTAAAATACACATGTTATATGTATCAAGATTTCTTTCTATTTGTTCTGTTCATGTTGCTCTCACCTCCCTTTTTGTTCCCTCTTCCTCTCTTTCTTTTTATCCTCTCTCACTCTCTCTCTCTCTCATTGTATCGGTCTCTCTTTCTCTGTTCTCTCTATCTCTCCCTTTTTTATATTTATCTACTTCGTTTCTTCCCTCTCTCTCTGTCTGTCTCTAAAGAGAATTTTAAAGATGATAACATGAGTCCTGGAATTTCGGTTAAAAAATGATCGGATAGCTATCATTACTCTGTATTAATGACTGATTTTAACTAAAAGGTATGGAAGCCAGCCCTCCTCACTCGAAGGTCATTTTATTATGATATTGGTCTACAAACCAGTCCTGGAGTTCTGAGCTATCAAATTGTGTTTCTTCGAACACGAGATGGCGCTGTTTTGAATGTTATTCTTCGGAAAGAGAGAAATCGTCAATGTTGTGTATTAAGTAACGGGCGCAAACATTACTATTGTCTGATTGTGACAAGAGTATTATTCCCTTAACCTAAATGTTTACTTATACTTTCATCAATAAACAGTCATACTTGTTCACAGCTGTATACATACCAGTCTTTAAAAGAACGAAATACCTGTGATTGTGATTAAAAATTTAATATTCGACATCAGCCTAAAATACACTAATGTTTTCCCTCAACCATAAAATGTATGAACTATGAAATACATAGAACATTCAAATACAAGAACTGGCAATTAAGATACATAAAGCTTATGTACGAAAAATAGTGCCACATTCAGTTCAACGTGTTCAAGCCCGTTACCATAATATAAAATATGAAATACATAGTACATTCAAATACAAAATCCGAAAATTAAGATACATAAAGTTATATACGTGATACAGTGCCACATCCAACGTATTTAAGGTCATAACCATACTGTATAAACTATGAAATACATAAAACATTCAAATACAAAAACCGATAATTAAGATACATAGCTTATATACGGCATATGGTGCCACCTTCAGTTTAACGTTCAAAATGTCGTAACCATATAATGTATAAACTTTGAAATTCGTAGAACATTTAAATACAAGAACCGATAATTAAGATACATAGCTTATATACGGCATATAGTGCCACCTTCAGTTTAACGTTCAAAATGTCGTAACCATGTAATGTATAAACTTTGAAATTCATAGAACATTTAAATACAAGAACCGATAATTAAGATACATAGCTTATATACGGCATACAGTGCCACCTACAGTTTAACGTTCAAAATGTCGTAACCATATAATGTATAAACTTTATAATTCATAGAACATTTAAATACAAGAACCGAAAATTAAGATACATAAAGCTTACCTACTGGATAAAGTGCCGCATTCAGTTTAAAGTGCTTAAAGTGATACTCATATAATGTATACACTCATAAAGTCATAGAACATTTAAATACAAGAACCGAAAATTAAGATACATAAAGCTTACCTACTGGATATAGTACCGCATTCAGTTTAAAGTGCTTAAAGTGATACTCATAAATAACGTATACACTCATAAATTCATTGCCGTCCCTCTGCAATATAGAAAAGTTAATTTAAAAAATGTTGCACTGTTCGCTGCTTCTACCTCATTTGTCATATTGTAGTTTAATTTGGAGAGTACATAACATACATGCCTGATTAAACTAGATGTGATGTAAAATAGAAATATCCGCATCCAAGGCCGAATACAAAAAAAATATATTCTAATTTGATATTGATGAATGTCAGTAAAATTACACAGTATCAAGAGTGCGTATTTATTCATCAATGTGTTGAATAACTTATGCCTTCTATGTTATTCATTTTTTAACCATGTAAACTTTATATGTAACAAATATAATGACATATTCATGTATTTTCTAATTGTTTACGGCACTCACGTCACAAGCGTTTGCTAAAGTATTTTCACTGTATAAATTCGAACATGCGACAACTTTTGAAAGTAAATGTTAACTTGAATTGCATTTACTTATTATACTCGGTACCAAGCTCCTCAATAATATTGACCAATTACCTAAATATCAACCATATGGAAAATAGTACTTTCAATAAACAATCTTAAACAATAGACAAGGCTCACAGACCTTTATTTTACTTAAATTTAAACCCGATGATGGGTCTAGGTTATCGTCTAAAATCGGGTTTAACAAATAAAGTGGAATTTGTCTTAGGACAATTTTTTCCTTGTGATTGCTTGTTTGCTTGCTTGTTTGACCTGACTGCTAAAAAAGCTTGTAAATGCTTTAAAATAAGCAACCAAGAGACCGGCGTTTTTAAGTCCTTTTCGAAGGACTTGGTAATGTGAATTAAAACCTTACTACTGCTTTACCACTGACCCATCGCGCCTCCGAAAACGTGATTTTCGACCTAGGGTGGAACTTACGTGAATTTGTATAATACAATCCATAACGTTTCTCTACGAACATAATGATATATTTTGATATGACACTTAAATGTTTAGGTACAATAAAAACAAATCTAAATATTGCCCTTTGGGAGCAATACTCAACAGCATGTAGCAGGGAGGGGGGGGGGGGGGTTATCATTAAAATCCTCTAGCATTTTTCAGAGTTCATCTCTTCACAGAAGTGTTATTTATGACGCCATCTTTAGGTTCTCATAAAATATATAGAGGGGAGTCTGCAGGATCATGTTTGATTCAGCATTGACTGTCTTTACTTTTTTAACAAGACAGAAATTAATAGTAAAAACTGTTATACATTTTAAATATCAATATGTAAAATTACTAAGTGTATAGTATAATAACAAATAACTTTACTAATCGATCTAACTCATTTAAAATTTCTCCCCCTCAATGTATCGTAACCTAGTTTATATTCGTCAGATTTCGTTGACAACATTGTATACTTTTCAACTAATGACATGTCAGTACTGATTCCTGTTTAAAATTTATGCCTTCATTGTCTACACCACTCACTTTATTTGCATATATTATGTACATTTACTAAACTACAAAGGTCCACCGTTATGTGTATGATGTCCCATACATTCTATTTTCACCTTTACTTCATTTACAAGGATAAAAGAAGAAGATGTGAGATGAGTGAGACTGTGAGAGGCATTGAAACGTGTACCTTTTTAGACATCTAAATATTTAATTCAAATGAATTGATCCTCCGATGTCTTTCTTTCTTCTCTGTTTTTCTCCATCTACTGCATTCTCTTTTCTACACTCGATTCCTTATTTAGATGCTATGAACGTATTCACGCATAACTGTGATGGTGACCTAACAGAAAGTCGTCTTTAATTGCAGTTGGCGTTCCCAACAAATGCGTTACTTCCCAGGATTTTGCTTCCTTGTATTTTCTGCAGTATACTTACCGTACGGATCTTTATGTTTACCATGTTGTTCCGATAATGAGAAGAACATAAATGTGGAACTCAATCAACGAATCAAGACATCTAAATTGCGATAGAGTTTGGGATGTTACTTGGGAGAAGCCAGGAGTACGCCTCATCTCTGTATTCGTTCTGACTTTGTATTATTTCCTCAATCGACTTCAGGTCTTTACAAAACCTGTGAAAATGATAGAAAAGCGAAAGAGAGAGAAGGAAAGAGAGTGTAGGAAGGAAGAGGAGAGATAAGAGAAGAAGGAGAGAGAGAGAGAATGAGAGAGAGACATAGAGAGAGAAAGAGAGGGGGTGAGAGATATAGAGAGAGTAAGGAAGAGGAGAGATAAGGGAAGAATAAGAAGAAGAAGAAGAAGAAGAAGAAGAAGAAGAAGAAGAAGAAAAAAGAGATTGAAAAAGGAAAATGAAGGGAAAGAAGAAACATGCACATCAATGAAGATAGTTTTCGATGGTATTACCTGTGATCAACTGAGCTACTTCAGAAAAGCAATGCATTCCTCTGTAAATGAGAAATAAATCAAAGCACTAAAGAAATGGAAAGAAATATCCTGACATTTGTTTATGACAGGAATATGTCTTTAGCGGAAATACGGTAAAAAAATGAGATAAAACAATAATTTAAGGGATAGAGCGACGGGGTAAAAAGAATAATTAATGGGGATTAATGTATTGCGAGGGGACTTAATATACCCTTTCATATTGTAAATCAACACAAAAAACGGGTAAAATTAAATTCTATATTGAAAGGACAAAAATGGTAACACATACTTGATTTTTTTTCCACTATCATTTGTATCACAACTGTTAGTTGAATGACAAATGCTGTTTTGTTTAGAAGAATAAACATGATAAATTAAAGGGAGAAAGGGAGGACGCTGGTGGAGTTAAGTGGGCCGGGAAAGAGGGAGACAAAAAAGGGGTGGATGGTGTTGATAATTATGATGACAATGATGATGAAGATATATGGGGATGATGATGAAGGTGATGATGGTGATGATGATGATGATGATGGCGATGATGATGGTGATGATGATTTTGATGATGATGGTGATGATGGTGATGATGATGAAGGTGATGATGGTGATGATGATGATTTTGATGACGATGATGGCGATGATGATGGTGATTATGGCGATGATGATGATGGAGATGATGATGATGGGGATGATGATGATGATTCACAGCTTTTATATGGCGCCATTTTCCGATTAAATACATTCAAAGGCGAAGGCTCTTCCAATTAAGATACTATTCTTACACTTGCCGAAATATGTATACATTTTTACTCATTAGTTGAAGTGGTTTATACTTCATCAATTTCACAGAAAGAATAGAGGAAAGGGAAGTGAAGGAAGAAAAGCCGATGATAAAAGAGCATAGTCTTCCACCTTTAAACATCCTTGCAAGAATTCGATTGAAATTGATGATTATAAATGAAACTAGAACTGCAATCGTGTTAGAGCGATACGCATGAATTGACGTACGTCCCTGTACGTGATAGAAAAAGGAGCATTAATTTGTCAGAAGTCTATAGCATCTAGGATAGTGGAGATAGATAGGCCGGCCGAAAGAAAGGCCTAAAACATGGCCTTAAACAGACAACATGGAACCTGGAAGGTCAGACAAAAGTGATTTCGGTAAAGGAAGAATCTAGTGACCTTGATGGAATGCTAGAGACTATTTTTTGCCTGCGACGATTGAAAGAAATCGGGATAAAGGAAAGGACCCTGCAAGATAGGGCTCACAACCACAGCGTGCAAACAAATTGGATTTGGGTGTAAGGAGAACACGGCAGGGTGCGTGCTGTGGCACAATTGGCTTTTCATACTAACGTAATCATGCACGGTATAAAATGGCGTTTAAAGTGCTCCCTAGAGAGATTTTCAAAATCCGGCTTTGAGATGCTCTGCGTTTTTCGACCCAGAACATGCTAGTAACATTCCAAGGAGAAAACGATCTGAAAGTGGGCGAAAATTCTTCTTAAAACTGACGTCATAGCCAATGCATATTATAATTAGGCGGAAACCTAGTCGTTCTTGTTCAAATGCGATTTACAAAAAAAAAATCTGTTTAAACATAATCATTCGAAAGGGCATTCCATTGTGGTCAGTTTCATCATGACGTCATCAGAATTTATCAAACTTGGCAGACAGTTGTATGGAGAAGAAGAAGAAGAAGAAGAAGAAGAAGAACGAAAACAAGGCCTTTACGAAAATCGTCCATGCAACAATGCCGGGAATAAATGAAGCTGTTTAGCAGTGTCTAATATAAAACTGATATTTCAAACTTACTTATCCAATGCTCCCAAACTGACTGGATCGAAGAGGTACTGCACTTCGAAGTCTCCCAGTGCACATGTATCATGCATGCTAAGTAGCTTAGTGAAGCTCATGGTCTTCAGTATCTTCTTCTTGTTTGGCAACTTGGCTATCAGGTCCTTCTCCGTGAGAGCAGTCTTATGAAATGAAAACGGAAGTGAAACAGTTTTCTGTCAAAACCCCAAATGCTAGTTCATGTAGTGCAACTACTTTTCAATACTTTTTTGCAATACTTCCAGTCACTCCCTTTTTAACATATTTTAATGTCGTAATTTTGTTTGAGTTCACTTGATTTCAAACCTCTACACCAGACATACTATATATATATAAAGACAGCACATGTATTAACATATGTTTCAGTTTCTGATGATGATCATGAAATAAAGTGATCGAAAATTTGATAACTTGCAAACATGATTCTAATAGTATAATGAGAGATTTCTGTTTAGTCCTGTATGTAGGCATCTTTTGTGGAAACATTGGATTCTTTTTTGGAATTTTCATGTAATTAAAAAGCGAGGGAACTATGTTTTCTTCTTCTCGCAAAGAGTTTATAGGGCGTACACCCGATCTTTAATATATGCCTGTAATACAAAACTTATTTTGTACATACAGATCGTCGGAAAAGGCTGCTTATTAGCATCTGAAGATTATAATTGAACGAAAAAGAACAGGCCCCTGGTTACCTTGTCCTGAGGGGGTTGTCCATTCATCCATCCAGGATAGGCCGGTGGGAAAGCGTAGTTGTCATACTGGCCGAAGTTGACCGAGGCATGAGTAGCGCTGAAGATGAAGATGAAACTGGTCACGACTTCCGAGATCTCCTTCGCTGTTTTGAAGTGACCATCGTTGGGGAGTCCCTGAAAGCGATCGTATTGTAGTTGTTATTGGTTAGTCCTATAATGGCAAACAGCCCATTTTTGTTAACGATATCATAATTGTGTGTGCATGTGTGTGTGTGTGTGCGTGTATTTGTTGTGGTGTGTGGGTGTGTGTATTTGGGTGTGCGTGTCTGCATGGTATGTACAATTGACTTATAAATTATGTTTATGTACTTTAAGTTTACCTTCTTGCCCAGTTATATAAACTGCTAATGAGTTTTTGTTTAATAATGTTTATGTATGAGCAATTAATATTGAAAACGATTATTTATTTATTTATTCAACTGTATGTTGTTCTTGCTTGTATTACATTTGGAGGAATAAAGCAAAATTATTGGGAAAAATGATGGTTAGGTGTGGAATTGTTTATATTTGAAAATAAACATGAACAAAATGATCACCTCGTGATTAGTTGTTCAGCTCCAGTTTTTTGTGTTTGTTTCTCCTCCTTCTGATTCTCTTTTTTCTTCTGTTAATTTTTGTTCATCTTCATTATTATCTTCTCCTTCTTCTTCTTCTTCTTTTTCTTCTTTTTCTTCTACTTTGTCTTATTCTTCTTCTATATGTACATACCTTTATGCCGCCCTTAGCTTCGATGCCATTGGCGCCCTCTCCAACAGTGTCATCATTGCCCTGACTTGCAAGGAATGCGGCCCATTCTTGCAGTTCATAGTCGCCGACGATTTTCCCTGGAGAATCTGGAGGAACAATAGTAGAATGACACTTTTTCACGTATGTCACAAACATACATGCAGTATTGCGAGAACGCATGCGTTATCAACAATTACAAAGCGTTTAAAACAATACATTTCTTTTTGGGAATATCTAAAGGCTTTGAACGAATCAAGAATTAAGTAATCGAAAGCATGCACAGACAGCAAAGTTTGAAAAACAAATTTTACCAAACGGAGCTTTAGCTCTTTGCCTTTTTAGTTAAGTTGATACAGTCATGTTAACTAAAACATTACAGCTCTGTATTTCTCGTTTTGCGATTTTCCTGCTTTTTAACTGTTATGATGTGAATTTCCTTATATCCCTTTATATTCAAATTTCCTATAAGAGAGCTTCTTTTTGTTGCACGTGGTTGTGCTTCAATTAATGTAAATTTCACGAACGTACCATAATAATGATCCACTATGTGTTTGACATATCTGGATATCGCCCCGTGTATTCGCTTGGCATCATCGCGATAGTAGTACTTTGGTAGCACACTGGGATCTGCCACACCCCTGTTCTCAAGATCAGCATGAAGGGAGCCCTCTACGTCGAGTCACCAGGTTGCCCATCGACGTTTGATTATCTCGGACAATCCAGTGCTTCCGCATGTCATGATGTCACTCAGTAAGCCATGTGCTCCTAGCAAAGGTCCCATACCGATCCTATAAACAATAAAGAAGCAATCATGATTAATATGGTGAAGAAAACGATATTGTTGATGCTCTCTGACACCTGCATTAATCACCAAATCCCTAGTTTATCAATATAAGAACTGTTAAGTTTTTATGATTTTTCTTGATGCCAATGCGCTTGACCGATTTCTTTTTTATAATGTCTTTCTTATGGTTTCTCAGTTCTAGCATGAAATTGTTTAGTTACATTGTCTATCAATTAACAGTAGTCCCTCGTTCCTCGTGATTAGGGCAGGCGGTTATTAGATTATTTAGAGGTATTATAGTAGTGGTTTTGTCTGATAAAGCTGGCAGAAGAGTTACTTAAAATGACGAGCATAATGTCCGTAGATTTTTAAATTGGCCTAAAGTAATGACCTGAATTTCTTTCAAACAAGCAGGCTAATAACAAAAGAAATTGCCAAAAGAAAACTGTCTGAAACAGGGGGTTGTCCCCTTCCCCCCGCCCAACGACGTCAGTGCTTGCGCTTCTTACTTGTTAATTGCAAGAAGGTAGAGAAAGTGCGGAGCTAGAAGCCGAAAGATCGGATGAGACGGAGACAGACAACGATTGGTTGCTATGACGACAATTTCCCCGATGAGATGAGTGAAGCCCAAATGAGAGGATGCTTCATGGATAGAAGCATCTGCTAAGTTGAAATAGCACTTGGCCATCATCCACGTGTATTCCGGGTCAGTTGGATAGAACACCTTGTTAAAGATGAAAATAAAATTAAGATGTTCGTCTTTTAAACATAATAGTATTTTATATCCTTTAGTTTCCGTTTGTATAATCCGATTTAATGTGTCAATTCTTGCGATTTACTCTGATTAGTACAGGATGAAATTGTTATATGTCTGTATTCGTTGCTATACTTGGATTTTGCAGTAAGAATACAAGTGAAGTTGGGTTCTGGTCATGGGATTGCATTGTGAAAGGAAGAAAATGGGAAAGGTTGATGATGATGATAAACATTATTTACTCGAGTTGAACATATTTTTAAACAAGTAATATGTACCGGATTGGTTGGAGCTGGATGTTGAAAGAGCTGTATGGCGATCGGCATCAAGTTATCTTCACCATTGACGAAGAATAGTGCAATAGGAGCACACTGAAATCAAAACAAACAAGGTCATAGTTCAATAACAACAAAGGGGTATTACAGCTGGATTCAAAGCTAAGGGCTTGTCTTTGAAGAAGGTTCGGAGCCGCCAACACCATTAACTGCGCATTATGATATTTCAAAATCAATAATCGCCTCTGTCTACCTAGGCGGCTTGGAAACTAAGACATTAACACAAAACCAAAAGCACCATAAACAAAACCCAAGCACTAAAAACAACAAAGCAAAAGCACACAACTGCACTCCGGAGCGTGCAGGTATAATACATTTGTTATAGTACGTTTTCTGCACTCCAATGCAAATAGATGTTTCAGTGCAGTCCACTGAATGTAACGTGACCCGGTTTGAACCGCTCAGATAACAGAACATTCTTGGAAGTTGTATAAATCTATCTTTCCCTGTCCCATGGTCTGGAAGCCATTGGCGGGACAGTGACATGGGTTTTGAGAAAAGGGTTTTCCCTAACTTTTTAAAGCTGTTCTAGTTAGATGTTCTCTTCTCATTATTAAAGAGAAAGACTGAAAAGCAAGTAGAAACAATCAAAAGATAAATAAGAGCAAACTTGAATGTTTTGAGATTGCTACAAATTTAAGAATATTGTACACCCAGAAGCGCACACACATACACCCCAATCCACCACACCATCACATTACCCCTAAACAAATCTAGATTGCTTACCAAAACCCCCTCCTTGCAAGGCAGATCCTTGACCAGCTCATGGTTAACTATGAAGAGTCGCTTCTCATTGATTACCTTATCGATCGTCGATCCATTCAGAAGAGATTCCAACTGCTTGGCATCAACTGCGAAACTAGACAATTAGAATAATCCATCAAGGTTAAAGAGGAGGTTCATTCATATTTATTATATTACTTTTGTGCAATTTGGTGAAGATTACTCATTATTTATCTTATCGGCTAAAGAATATTCTCATTTCAATAAGCTTTTATTGAAGAATGTTTGGTGAAGTTAGAATAAATTGTATAAACATGTCTTTTTAGGAACGGCACATTTGTTTTCATACAAGCTTCTTTAAACTGTAATTATCAAAAAAAGATACTGCTTGTGTTTATCTTAAACGAAATGATAAATAAATATTGGTTGATTTCATAAAGGCGTATATTTGTTTGTTGTTGTTGTTGTTGTTTCGTTTTGTTGTTGAAAGAATGAACTATGGATTAGCTGAAAAAGGCAGATCAGTTGAGTGCAAATAATTTCTTAACCCCAAATTGCAATAATCATTTTGGTATGAATATTGACAAACAGATACTGAAGGTGGTTTACTTCTCAGGTATTTGAGTACAAAGTCGGATCATGGCTGGGTTGCACCCGGTTAGTCGTTGGTTGGCGAAATGCTGATCCGATTTCCAATGATAAAACCCCTGTCATGAAGGGGGAATAACAAGAACAGGCAATCGAGCACGTTTATGAATACAGATAACTTTAATAATACATGTAATAATAATACTTAGAAGGAGAAGAAAAAAAAAGATTAAAAAGTAAGACGCGATGAAATAATAACTGTGCGATCATGGGCATTTGGATCGGATTTCCTGCTTATTTCTCGTTATAAAACATATAATTAGTGTTTTAAGGCTCGTGCGTTATGTGATATGCATGGCATTTTGCGAAGTCATAATGAGCCAGATAATGACCACGACAAATCTCGTCCATTATCCTATTGTGATTTAACGTGTGTGCATTGCATATTTACTTATGCTATACGGTACGGTCATCTGGGTACTTTTGGGCAATGCTTTTTCTATTCGACACAGAAATCTTCATACATAATAATGGTATTCTTTATTATCATATCTATTCTCACAACTCTTCTGCTCAATATTGTTACTATTATTATTATTATTATCATTATTAACATTATCATCATCATAATCATAATTTGCTGTTGTCGTTGTTATTTTTCGCATCATTATGATTATTTACACCACCATCTTCATCATCATCATTATCATCATCACCATCATCATCATCATCTCCATCATGATCGTCATCATAACCATCACCATCTTCACCATTATTATCCTCACCATTATTATCCTCACCATTATCATCTCCATCATAATCACCATCATTACCATCACTATCATCACCAACACCATCATCATCATAATCATCATCATCATCATTACATCAACACGTTCTTACCTCTGGTACTGGTAGTAATGGCGGGCGGTACAGTTTCTCTATATCCTCAAGGGTTTCACACTTCCCTGTTGACCATTCCAACCAAGCAGACTTGGCAATCAGTTTGAACACCTCCGTCTCAATGTCCCACTGTAAATAATAATACTACTAATAATAGTGTAAACTTATAGAGCGCACACACCGTCCAGGGACGCTCAAGGCACTATATTCAGATTCAGCTTTAGTTTTATTATATCGTTTATATTTCACCTTTCTATATTCCAGAATTTAGCAATGAGTTCACAAAATAAATGGTACTAACAAATATCAATTCAATTAAAATGGACTAGACCAGACAGTAAGTAAGATATATCAATTTGTTTCATGCTGTAAATTGAAAATAGTGAAGTAAGAAGAAGATTGAAATAGGGAGGGGCCTACAGTGAAACCCATGCTTGTGAGTTACACTCCACACAGGATTGTTTATTTTGTAAAAGTCATTACAAAAAGAGGGAACGAGCATTATAAATGCCAATCACAGTTACCGAATTCACATTCGAAGGCCCTATTGAATAATAATTTCAGATATGATTAAAAATCATAACAATTGACACAAATCTGGTGAAATGTCTGGTCAAATATTACAATTATTCAGAGTTTGTGTTTCAAAGCCGTATAAAACAGTAATTAGTAATTTATCAAATCCGATTTATTTTTCATGTCTAACATTGGGGAAACTGGACCTCTTTAACCAAATTCTAGCTCCACCAGACAACGCTGATGGCTACATATAACTGATGTCATCCTTAATGACGATGCCTTTGCTCAATATCCAAAGTCAGTAGGGCCTACTGCCACTCTGGAAATTTACGAGCAGATTTTAAAATAGTATATTCAATGTTACGTTCGATCACGACATTTAATATTCCTTTTATTCAAAATTATGTATATAATGTCAAGATAATATGTTACACTTTTCATTAGGGCTGTCATAACTATATTAATTTTTCCCACGAACACCAGGAATGGACTAAAGCAGGACATATAGTGCACCGTTCCCATAAACTTGGAAAATATTATCTCTTTTCATGAAATAATTGTGACAGTATGAATTATTTTTGAGAGATGATGTTCCTCTTTAACTTTACTGATCAATGAAGATCAATACAATCAATAATCAATACAAGAAATATCAATTAAGTCCTGTGACTTGATTTATCAATAACAAATCGTATCATAAGAGGTATACGATGAGAAATAAAGAAAATTGGTCAACTCTATGGGCAACAGTGCCTACACCCACACGCACACAGTCATCACAAAATTACCTTGTATCTAAAGGAGAACGCTTCACCATAAGGAATATGGCGAACCTAAAAAGAAACAAAACAGAAGAAGATCATTCAGTATTCCCTATCTCTTATCTCAGTTATCTGTGGGAATTTACTAACCGGTCAGGTAAGTGCACATCTCAGAGGGACAGACCTATTTACTCGTGTTTCCCATTTATACTTGTGTCTCTCCGGAACACCTTGTCTTGTATTTCGACAAACTATGTTATATTTTACGTTACTACATAAATAGATGTTAGTGTAATTGTTATAATCGATCAAAATTAGGAGAGGTTATTGGATAATATCTGCACAGAGCTGGCTGCATAAGTGTGTAGTTAAAACAGATATCTGCTCAGGCACCAATAAAAGGCGTTAGTTCTGCGAGGTGCATGGATTTTAAATATTGATGTAATTTGTATCATTGCATCAGAGAAAGTAGACACCACGAACAAGGTTATCGAAATTTCCCACTTGGAAACATTCAGAGTAACGATTACTATAAATGTTATAATGGTTAAATACCGCCCCACTTCATACGCAGATGAAGAGCTCTCTGAACACATTTGTGACGTCACTCAAGCGACAAAATTAGCGTATTAAAGTAGACCATGTCCCATCATCGATGCACACATATTTAGTGCTTGTTTCGTCGTCCCCTCTTCACTTATTTGTCTTACTTCACCGGTGTCAGTGTAATATTTTGATCCGTTACTTAGTCTGAATTTTGGACTTCTTTTTTTTTAAAGAAGAAAATGTCCGAAAGACGCCATTGTACATACAGCTGCAAACACCAACACAATAAGTCATGTGCATCGTTCTGAACGGAAACAAACACCGTCTATTATATTATTCGGGGGGCTTTTATATTCGAAAGTGGGCTGATATTTCCACTAATTATTATTTCTCTATTTTTTCAATCCATGAATGATTCTAAGCAAAGGATTATATTTATCGGTATCATCATCATTTCTCTTTTAAAATAATATGAAATACATTTGATTTTAGAATGAACAAATTCTAATTATTGAGCAATAATTGTACTGAAAGTATGTTTATTAGTTACAGGATGTTGTCTGTTTACGCAGGGTCGGTTCCTAATGTGACGTCATCTAAACGGCTATATTTCCTGGCGAAGCGCTCGTATATCTCAGGGGGGCGTTTCACAAAGCCTTTTTTTCCGTGACAAATAACAGAATTCAGTGACAAATCTGCTGATAACCAATCAGAAGCAAGGATTTCAGTAGCTTATAACACAAATTGTCATGTGTCACTGATGACAAGTTTTGTGAAACGCCCCAGATCCTGACAGGTGCTTTTATTTGTGTCAATTTTCTAATGTCCGATACGCAGTTGACTAAAAAGTTGATACTATATTCATATATGTAAGCTCTCTGGTTTATATTGATACATTATTGGCAATATGTGTGCTTTTGGATAGGGGGTGGGGAGGGCCGGGTACGACTGATATATCAAACTACTAAAGGGATAGAAAATGGAGAATGAATACCGATCACGAAAATAATATTGACCCTTTTTCATATTTTGGCTGTTTTGATATACTGTACTTAGCTAAATTGTGTATCGTGATCAAATATATACTAAAATCATAGACTAAATACTTGTTTTATTATCCGACTACATTTTAGCTTTAGCTTTGTTTTATTATTTTTCGCACAATTTTATTATTTATTAAGATGTCTATTGCTTCATAATGTATTATAATTGTTATACAGAGACTACCCTGTATAGAGAACACAGAATAATAAATATATAAATAAATTCATTAATGAATAGATAAATAATTTTTATAATTTTCCTAGCACAAAAATATGTTAGATACCGGCCCCTGGTAACTGTTACGGGATTACGAAGGAGGGAATCCCCTTTGCATACATTATAATTTGCTTGGTCTACCAACCTTAGAGTTGCCAAGAGAGGCTTTTGTTCTAGAAGCATGCATACAATAAGTGAACAGGTCTATTGCCGGGGGGGGGGGGGCAGTTATTTTGGGGATAGTCATAGTTGTCCTAGACCGAGAGTCTAAGTCTACATGATTTTGGAATTTATTTGGAAAAATATGGAGCCCGGGAAAGCAGTTTCACAGTTTCCTAAATTAAATGGGAGGTGTATAAACGACTTTTCAACTGTTTGGATTCATTCTTCCGTTAGTTACTAGTTGTCGAATCGACTTAGGAGCTATAGAGCCAGTAAGTAATATTTTAATTTCAGACCTTTGTACCGAAGGTCGTACGTTTTATGCTGCGCAAAGATTCAATCAGTATAATTTTGGCCATTACAAGAAGTGGGTTATTGATGTAGACAAATGCTCATGTACCCTTTACAGCTCATTTTATGTATGTTATTACCAAAGAAGAAAAAAGGCCAGTCAGTCACTCAATAGTGTCTGACAGTGAAGTCTAGCAAGTAAACGGGTTTCCTTGCATAATTTGAATATTAGGACACTGCTAACGTTCACATTTCACAGATAGGACATACATTACATATTCAAAATTCCTGCAAAGTTCTACAGAATTTGATGTTGGCTGTAAAAGGGACATAGTATCTCTAAAGGGTAACGTTGTTCTGATGACAGAAATGGTGTTAAGGTGATAATTTCAATGTTAGATGTACAATTAAAGATAATCTGAAAGTTTTAGTGAAAACAGACCATTATGAATGATAACAATTTCGAAAAACTGATATGATCGATTCCTTAATTCTCCCAACTATATTATTACATTATAGGTGAATGTAAATGAACTGGCTTCATATACAAGACAATAAAGTGTTGAACGATTTTTTTTAAAAGCCTGCCTTATGTCTGTCATGAAAAAACGGTTGGGAAAATTCAAAAATGGTTGGGAGAATTTACTGTTTAAGGCTGTTGCACAGTGACGCCTTCAAAGAAAAACATAAATATCGTTGTGGTTTGAGAATTTAATACTACACATTTAATTATGCCTTACCAGGAGATTGGCCCGGTTCCGAAAAGTATCTAGGCAATAAATGGGATTATTTACACGTTGAGAAAAATGGAGGTTTAAACCTCACTTTTTCGCGTATACATGTAGTATATGTGAACGCGCCTTATGTTAACTTTAAATTACCATGTGGTCATAAAACATTATGGCTGGAGGGTTAGTACAGTAGAAGGAATATAAGAAGTAACATTTCATACAAAAATTACGCAGAGTTTCCAATGTTACCGAGTCACTAAAACGCTGAAATCGGAAATTTACCCACCCCGAGATGAACATGTCTAAATGTTTTCCTACTTGAAGCCACCATACACAACTTTTGCGGCTGGGCTTTTGGAGGCGGTTTACCTCGTCATATCTAATCGAGCCTTAATAATGATAAATTAATTACTATTCTTACCATGATCATACCCGTTTTCTCGCTCTTGTATGTGTCATAGAAGATTTCCTTTTTCTTCAGCTCTGTTCGTCGTTGTTCCGAGTTAGCGTCCTCCTGCGGTAACGAGGTGTCATACTCCTTCAGTTTTAGCGTCGATCCCGCCCAAACGCAGCGATTGACGGGAAACATGAAAACCTCATCGCTGTTGACTTTCGCCAACTTAACGTAGTCGCACAACCACCTGCCATGACGCAGCCACTTGTTCTCCCGTTGAAGCTCGATGTAGAGTGGGTCCCCAAATTTTTGATCCTCGATCACGAATTTAAAGTCTTTTGTTTGGCCTATTTCTAACTCATCAATCGCTATCTTGATATGGTGAGACTTGACCTGTTTCTTGTTATAGAATCGAATGAACACGTCTTCTTCAAGAAGCATAGGTCTATCTCGGTCACCAGTTTTTAAGGTCAAGGAGTACTCGGTACCTTTAGTGGTCGCCATGGGGAATTTCTTCGAGATCGGCTCAGATTTTAGCTCGTTTCTGTTCCACCAATGCAACTTCTATCTCTTGAAGAAAACAGCTTGCTTGCCACGACGACTGCTCTTGCAGAGTGTTGTACCGCAATGATTATGATGGTCTTTATCTCATTTATGATATCTTTATACTAACTATTAGATTCGCTCTTTCGTTGTGATCATGGTGATGATGACGATGATTGGGCAAAAGGTTTTCAGGACGCGAACTGGATTGACCAATGAGAAGACAGCTTTGGCGAGTTCAACAAGTGGTACACGATATCGCTCCAATGAAAACTTACGGGGTGGAGCTTCCAAATGCTCCCAATTAGAAGTAACCTAGCCCTCTAACAAAAAACAGTCTTTAAAAAAAGGCAAACAAACGCCCACAGTGAGTATTCAAGAGAAGTCACGTGAACCAGCAGGAGTCCCGGGAGTTAAATTAAAGTGAGTATATCCTGGCGTTCGGCTCAAAAGATTTAGTAACAGTTCGGGGGGGGGGGCGGTTTTTGGGTGGGCTCAAACTCTAACAAATGTCATCAATCCCCCTTTCTACAGCCCAATTTTTACAAGGCATAGGAGAATTGTATCGTAATAAACAAAATGAATGAAAACAAATTAACTATTTATTGCAGGGAAAGTCAGAAGGTGCCAGACCAAGGTGGAAACCAAGAACTAACAGGAAAGGGATTTTAAAGTGACTCGGTAACATTGTTGAAGGTTAATGGAAAAAATGCGGATTTTAGTATGAAATGTTACTTATTATATTCCCTCTACAGTCTGCACTGACCCCCTAACATGCTAAAAATCCTGAAAAATTATCAAACCACAAAGATATTTATGGTTTTCTTTGAAGGCGTCACTGTGCGGCACCCCTGTAACAGTAAACTCTCCCAACCGTTTTTGATTTTTCCCAACCATTTTCACATGAAAATAAGACACGAGACAGACATTTTAAAATCTTTCAACCCTTAAATGTCTGAAATGGTATACAAAGCCAATTCATTGCTATGTGACGATTTACATTCACGTAATATATAATTAGATTGTAATAATATAGAAAGAATTAAGGAATCGATCAGATCAGTTTCTCCAAACTTTTATCATTAATAATTGTCTGTTTTTACTAAAAATTTCAGATTATCTTTAATTGTACATCTAGCATTGAAGTCACTACCTAAGCACAATTTTCTCTTATCTGAAAAATGTTACCAAGTCCCTTTAAGACATGTAATGGAATGACACTGCAAGAGCGATAAACACGATCCACCTCAGAGCTGGGAGAAGATACCTTGGTAATATTGTAACGATATCCCAATAAATAAGCAAAGTTAATTTCAACCATGATTTCAAAAACCTACGCGGTTTCCACATTTCGACAAACATATCAGAAAAGGATTGAGTGAGTTTTAGGGATGTTCCCATTCAGACAAGCCTCTTTATTGAAATCAAGTAATATTGAACAAAATTGTTTAAAATTTCAAAATATGTAGAGTTTGTGGAAATGGAAACAACAAACTGAAACTGAAACCTAAGGTTCTTCACGTTTCATTTATTTTCTTTATAACTATTTTCGTTTTATTGCAAGGCTTTGAAATGAGGATCGCGGTGCCTGGGACATGAAGAGTCCGATTGTGTCACTGGATTAGTTCGTACTATGATTGATTATAACGCGGGCATGGGTGCTTTGTCCCGAAATCATCGATGTTTGCATTTCAAGGTACTGCATACCTTTGTATAGATTTAGGGCATTTAGTAGTAGTACAATAACATGGGGATAGGTGCATGGTGACACATATAGCTCCGTTTAGTCTCATTTGACAACGCCCCCTATCGTCAGAGTCCAGCAGCCTATAAACATGTTAGCCTATGGACTTTCACCCCCCAAAAAAAATCGTTAACGAAAAGCACATCCACCCCGACGTACGATATCACTAGCTTTTTCATTGGAACCCTCATGTCCCATTGACTTTTGAAAGTTTACCCACCGTAATTTGGTCAAAATAGGTCGCCAGCTCGCCATTACCTATATAACACATGTTCAACAAGTTGAACTTTGGACGCAATTTACCACTCGATTGTAAGGTTATAAGTCAAGCACCCGAAGGATAACTAGCACAAAATATTATAGATCAGTTCTGATTTGTTCATTATGTCCATTTCAGCCAACCCCACCGTAATTTTTCTATTTAGTATAGACAAGCATTTTGCCGAGGTAAGCAAAAGCATGAATATTCATGAACACCATGGACTATTCGATTATTAACAGAGGGGTGCAATTGTGCATCACATCAAACTCCCCTACTTTCAGTCAAGTATTTCATTGTATTATGTAGTTTGGTAGGTTTATTTTACTAACTGTTTAATTATCAAATATCAATGATAGTTTAAAGATATGGAAAAGGTTCTTGTATTTTATATTTAGCAAAGCAATCTCACGTACAAAATCACTATCAAGTGTCGTCTGATCCGCCGATTGCCGTCTGCTATATACGCGAACTAGCTACGTTTGTGCTGGCGAAAATGAGACAACTGGAGCAATATGATGGTAACGCAAGAACCCCGGTGACACGACAGAAACTCAACCCGGATTTAACATTTTCACCTCATTAGTCTTGACTATCATCATCTCCTAGAGGCTTATTTTTCTGGCAAATACAATAAAACTCTATGATGACGGTTATGAAAATGATGTCAAAGATATATCATCACGTTTCAATTCAAAAGCAAAATATGTCTCTTCCCGGATGTTTTTTGCGCTTGAAGAAATACGTTAAAAACACACCCCTTAGGTCCAATATTAGCCTATTGCCATCATGTTTAACGTGCGAAATGTCGGTGTTTTCGTAACAACTAACATGAAACTGAAACTAAAAACCCAAGATTATTCATGTTTCATTTATTTTCTTTAGAAATATTTCGTTTTATTGCAAGGCTTTGAAATGAGGATCGCGGTGCCTGGGACATGAAGAAATACGTTAAAACACACCCCCTTAGGTCCAATATTAGCCTATTGTCATCATGGTTTACGCGCGAAATGTCGGTGTTTTCGTAACAACTAACATGAAACTGAAACTGAAACTGAAACCCAAGGTTATTCATGTTTCATTTATTTTCTTTACAAATATTTTCGTTTTATTGCAAGGCTTTGAAATGAGGATCGCGGTGCCTGGGACATGAAAAATCCGATTGTGTCACTAAATTAGTTCGTACTATGATTGATTATAACGTGGACATGGATTATAACGTGGGCATCATCGATGTTTGCAGGTGTATTCTTATTATTTTTTTCACTATTATAAGTTTTTGAAATGCGGACTATTTATTCTACTGGTTCTTTGAACTGTTATTTTAGTTGAAAGTATCGACCATTTGAACTGGGTCATTAAGTTAATTATACCAACCAGCTCGGCCTTTCCAGTTTGTGGTAAATTGCTTTTCTTGTTCTACGTTAATTTTGGAGACAAAGTTCATTTTTGTATAAATCTTTTGGACATTTCCAACTCATTGTTACCGTTATTATCATAAATACTCTACTTGTTCTGCTACTTTTTCTTCTATTTCTTTTTCTGCTTTTTATCCCCTTTCTTTTTTCTCCTCATGTTGCTCTCACCTCCCTCTTTCGTTCCCTCTTCCTCTCTTTCTCTTTACCCCCCCCCCCTCTCTCTCTCTCTCTCTCCCCCTTTTTTTTATAATAATAGATGATATTTATGAAGCGCGCTACAATCATGACAAATTTGAATATATAAACAGCATGTATACAACAATAAATAACAAAGTAGATAAGCAAATGAAAAATGTTATGGGAAAGTGCAACTGAATGTACCTATAATTACACCTAACTAAAACTCTTTGACATTACATATAACAAATTCAACAAACATACACCCATTATGTAGAATCAACCTCCAAATCAGCAACGGACAAAGCAGCTCTAGATGACCCTAAGGAACAAATAGGTTTTCAGGGCTCTTCCAAAGCCTTGGCGTACGCAGGATTTTTGCAAGGGGGGGGGGGAAGGTTAAAATTTTAACGCCGAAAATTTTGCAACGACTCAGCAAGCCCTTGTATAAGCGGGATGGGGGGGGGGGGGTGAGAGCACATTTTTTTTTTTTTGCTCCAAAAGAATTTGCAACGCCTCGGCCAGCCGCAAATAAGCGGGGGGGGGGGGGGGGAGAGGGGAGGGGGGGGGGAGGGGAGAGGGGAGGGTGGGGGAGCACTTTTTTCTTTGGGGGGCGGGGGTCCCGGAAATTTCCAACTTTTGCTGACCGGTATTTTCAGTGGGGGGGGGGGGGGTGGTCACTTGTTTGGGGCACCCTTTTGCAAAAAAAATAATTAATATATATATATATATAAATAAATATATATATATATTTATTTTAAGGGGGGTTCCTCAAAAATCGCACACATAGAAAAAGTTGAGGGGGGGTTACCTACCTATTAATTATAATCTCTCTTTCTCTCTTTCTCTCTCTTTCCCTGTTTTTTTTATCTTGCTTTCTTTATTTCCTTCTCTTTATTAATCACTCTCTGTCTCTGTCTCTAAAGAGAATTTTAAAGATGATACCATGAGTACTGGGATTTCTGTATAAATTGCTCCGATAGCTAATTTTGAAAGCTAGACCTCCTCACTCAAAGGTCATTCTATTATTATATAGGCCTACAAACCAGTCCATAAGTTCTGAGCCATCATTTTTTTCTTCTCATTACACGAGATGGCGCTATCTTGAACTATATTCTTCGGAAAGAGAGCCTCGTCAATGTTGTGTATGCAACCAGGGAAATGTGAGTTTAAACTCACATCTCCCTAATGTAACAGAGCAAACCGATATCTGATTATGACAAGAGTATTATTCTCTTTACCAAAACATTGTCTTATAACTTTCATCAAAGAACATTCATACTACTCATACTCATACTGGTCATAATTGATGACGATCTGCAAGAAAATGTTATGTTTTAGTAAATGATTGTAATTATATAGA